ATGCTTGCCCTTTCAGCTGTGGGGGCATTATAATGTGACGGTCAATCCAACTATTCGTTGGTAAAAGAGAAGCTCAAAAGTTGGCAGTGGGTGGTGATGACTAGCTGCCTTTCCTCTAGTTTTTCACTGCTAAATTAGGGACGGCTAGCGCAGATAGCCCTCATGTAGCTTTGAGCGAAATTCAAAAACAAAAAATCATTAAAATACGTAAGGCAATATCACAGAATAGAAATTAGTACAGAAGTTTCTTAAGTTAATGTTGTAAACTGCGTCTAAGTTTGAGGCTTAAAATACTTCTTCTTGTTGTTCTTTAATTACGATACTCACGTATTTAACACTTGTATCTGTGTTTTTATGTTCACTGGATTCCGAGTTCCACCAATGAGCCAACTAGGAATTTTACATAAAAACTCCTGATCCCATAGAATATATTTTATAAAATTGCAAAGTTTTGAGAGGATTCAAAAATATGGAATCAAAGGAGATCTAGAGGGTTCGCAGTAACGATTAAACTAATCTGCTTGAAATTTAGAATGGACGTGTAAATTGTAGTTCAAAACATGAATCTGTTGGTTTTTTTTACATTTTAGGAATTTTTAAATTTCGCCCTCGTCACGGGGATCAAAGGGGGTTTGGGGCACTTTGGACTGATTGCATGAATTTACTATGTTGCGTAGCAGCAGTTTCTCGTTAACTTTCCAGATACGGGGTGACAAGTTCGATGTAACATAAAAGTACGAACAAAACATTTATTGTTGACCGAAAAGATAAATATTGATAAAGTAACAAAAATAAAACTGTCAGGTTTCAGTTTCTTTTACCTGTATTCGTCCCTGCTTAGATTCTGAAGAATGTTGAGGTTCTGGTCTTTCAGTAATCTGAAAGTTTCACTTAGGTGGTGATTTTCAAGAACTGACCGGTCATTATAGATCAACGCTATGTCTGACCTGTGGCAACAGTAATTCATAGAAAATATCATAAAGTACATGGAAACTACAAAAACTTACAAACATGCAGGCACAGAATGAATATTATAAAGAATGAAATATACATTCATTGAGAAAGAAACTTGAAACAGGAGGGCCTACCTGGACATCACGTGGTAATTGTTAGTAGTGCCTGTGTGTTTGTAATCGTGTATAACTGCAGCAAACAACATAGCGAACACTTCCATATCTGTTAACCAGTTCTGTGGGAAGTAAACATCGGATGAGAAAGGTCACCCAACTTGGTCACATACTTAGGCTAATGCAAAATTAGAGTAAATCTCACCATTTAACTATGATTTCTAATTTTCATGGTTACTAGTAGTTATGCTATTTATTTAATACCATAGAACTTAGGTTTCTTGAATATACAAGACTGTTTAGCTTAATATTTACTATTTAGTGATTTAATATTTAATGGGTATTTAGTTTTCATATCAGGAGTGTTAAAAGTTAATTGTTTTTAGCAGTAATTATGTCAAATTTCTTTACGTAACTCGATAAGAGTCGTACGTTGTGTGTGTAGTTTAATTGTTGTAGAATTGTTGATGTCATCTTTCTCGAAACCTCTAAATTTTTCTCACTGTGTGAGTACTGTTACATTATAGCGTCTCCTAGTTTGTAGAAAGTTCTAGGCCTCATTGGAAAATATATACATTTTGGCGACCAAGTGAGTGAAAGTCAAGTAAAGTTTAGTTAGAAAAAGTTGGTTGGTGAAAGAAAACGTGAAGTTAGCCTGCGTGTGAGTGATTAGCTTTAACGGGTGATTTCTATAGTGCGTTTTACAGCTGTATTGTAACAGCAGAGATAGAAACAATAATTTGTCTTGTTAACTGGGTTCTAAAGCAACAAAATCAGCCTGTGTGGACACTTGACGAAAAAATGGAGACAATTATTTAAAGCTCTGGATACAACTGTGGTAATCAACAAAAGTTAAGTTAGTGAAAGTGAAGTTAGGCTGCGTGACTGTTAGTTTAGCTTTAATGGGCAATATTTTAAAGTGAGTTTTACAGTTTAACAGAAATAAGGAGAATAATTTGTCTTGTAAAAGGGTGTTCTAAAGTCACTGAACTCGTTTGTGTGGACTTTGAAGAAAAGAAGACAATTATTTAAAGATTTCGAGATACAACTGTGGTTACCCATGGAGTAAAGTAGGTGAGTAGTAGAGAAAAATAATTTGTCTTGTCAAGTGAATTCTAAAGTAATTGAATCAGCCTGTGTGGACTTTTGACAAGAAAATATAATTATTTAGAGTTTTAGACACAATTGTGATATCTTATAGTGTAAAGAATTTTAGTACATGCATTTGACTTGTTTTGAATATATTTTTTTAAAACAAGTGGGTTGTGTGATGTCCATATATTGTTCGAATTTATTGCCAACAAGTCACAGACACTTGCTGTAAAGAATCCAAGTCCATATTCAAAATCCTGACAAGTCAAAGACGTTCTTAATTAATTCCTGGTTACTAACAGTAATAATGTTTCATACTTAATACTTATAATATCAAAGAACATAGGCCCAATGACATTCTGTAGTAATTCGTGGTTATTAATAGTAATAATGTTACTTATTTAATACTGAGAATACCATAGAACATAGGCCTAATGATATTCTGTAGTAATTGATGGTTACTAATCTTCTTATTATAATGGAGCTTGCGAAACTACCACACCGATTATCACCAATCATAACTGTGTAATATTTTTATAACTGGGCAGTATTTTTATAGCTGAGCAATAAATAACGCAATTGAAATTCCCACAAAAATGACATGTTTCAGATTGAACCAATAAAAATGACAAAAAAGAGTAAGTTTTACAATCAAAAACAAACTTAAAAAATTATTTGTTTTTCTTTAGTAAAAATCTCATGAATGTTCCAACAGAAAGGCAAAGCACTTTCATTGATAACTGCGACTACAAAGAAATACTTCAATAAAATCTACTCTGTGATGTAATGCTGTGATGATAGCTCATTTTTAAACTAAAATTTCAATAAAATCCTTTTTCTCATGGATTGTGAACATTATTGAATGTCAAGTATGAGTACATTGTATAACTGTCAGACAATTCCAGAAAAGGCCGTAGGCCCAATAGTCTTCCGCTGGAACTAGCAGTTATACCTGCCCAAAAGACGGGTATTTCTTCTACTAGTAAGAATGTTACTTGTTTAATACTAAGAATACCATAGAGATTATGCCTGAAGACGTTCCCTAATACTTCATAGTTACTAATAATAATAATGTTACTTATGTAATACTATGAAAACTACAGAGCTCGGCCTAAAGACATTCTCTGCTAATTTATTGTTGCTAAGAGTAAGAGTAATAATGTTATTTATTTAATACTGAAAAGACCATAAAATATAGACCTAAAGAGTTCTCGACTAAATCCTTGCTACAAATAGTAATAATGCTACTTATCTAATGCTGACAATACTGTAAATCGTAGGCCTAAAGACGTTCTCTATTAATTCCTGGTGACTAATAGTAATAATGTTACTAATTCCACACTAAGAATACTGTTACGACAGCGGAAGTCACGTGACCCTAGTAACACGTAATGAGTATCTAGAAGGATCGGGAAACATCACGAATAATCCAGTATTTACTAGACGCCCTCTATTCCTGTATATAAGCGCGCCAGATAAAGCGAGACAATTAATCGGAATTGGAATAGCAGATAGGGATGTTACGACAGCGGAAGTCACGTAACGCTGGTAACACGTAATGAGTATCTAGAAGGATCGGGAAACAACACGAATAATCCAGTATTTGCTAGGCGCCCTCTATTCTTGTATATAAGTGCGCCAGACAATTAATCGGAATTGGAATAGCAGATAGGGATGTT